GAAATCTCCTCTCCTCCACTTCCCTACAGTACTGTCCATATGCCTCATTTTTAATTTAATATACACTGTAACAGGGTGTAATGTATTCATTCAACAAACACGTCCAAACTTTCTGTGGAGCAGGTTCTGTGTATAAAAACTGAAGAAGGAAAACTAAATGCTCGTGTGCATATGCAAGGTTTTCCTCACTGGGAACAATGGGTTTATCCCCTACAGAGGTTAGTACATGCTCTATATTTAGTAACTGCTCTTTCCCCAAGTCCCAAAGCACTCTGTCTGAATTTCTCTCACTTTGACCTTGTCTGAATTGTAAGGGAATTGTATTGGAATCGTACACTTTGAATTGTAAAGCAATCTTATTTACTTACTAGACTTTAGAGGCCTTGGAATGAGGATTCATATCTACATCTCTCATAGAAAGCAGTATTTAAGTAGAAACTCAGTATCTATTAAATGACTGAAAGATGAGTGCTCAGTTAATATAGCTTGACTAAGATTAAACATTTAGATCTTCAGCAAGAGGTTCTAAAAGCGCCACTTGAACCTTGAGTATAACATGAATCGCTTTAGACATTTAACACATCAGCAGTTAAATAGGGAAGGTGACCAACTAGTATGTGTAAATATAAAAGTATACAGAACCCAAAAGGCAAATGATAGCTTTTGATAGACAATATGATCTATACATCTTTAAGTACCCTAAACACAGAGCTAAGGCAGGCACTGAGAATAGACAGAAGATACGTACCTATCTTCAAACACTTCCATGATACAAATTAGCCTATGCTAAGTTAAAAATAAGGGCAATATTTAAAAACTTAAAAAAAAATAAGGGAAATATGAATTCAGAAAGGGGAATGTCAGTGAAGGCTGAGTTATTACAACAGAGCTCAAGGCAGCTATGGGGCTGAAGATACCGCTTACACTCACACTTAAGCTTAGAAGCTAAGTATAGAGGTCCCTCCCTAACCTCAAATTCTGTTGTGATCCATTATATGTTAATGCCAAAGGATTACTATCAGAAAAAAGGGAGAACTGAAGGATGGGAAGAAAACTGGGAGCTAAGGACTATGAACTGACTGGAGAGAAATTTTTTCCCCAAAGTGTTGGGGAAAGGGAAGCTGAAGAAAGCAAACAAGTGTGGGCCTCTCTGAAGGTTTTATTTCTCGGGAAGAGCAGGGAGGGTGGGAGAAAGGATGTTGTTAATACAGTAATAGTATAAAAGAAGATCTGGATGTGGGATATTGATTGATGGCAAGGAGACCAATTACTAGATTATATTAATAGTCCGGGAACCAAATAATGAAGGTCCAGACTATTGAAATAGCAGAAAGAATAGAAAAGACAACTTTTGTAAAGAATATTGTCCTCAGATAAGACCTCCATGCACAAACCCTGAGCAAAGTGCCAGAAGTGGAAATCTGCTGCTTTAGACGGTAGGCTATCTGAAAACAGGGTCTCCTGGCAGATTAGAACATGGTCAAATTTCAGAGGTCCCTGGTGGGGAGGAGATAAAGATTCTCTCAAGGACCATGCTTTCCTGGTTTATTACTAGAGGGTTAGGGTTGGACAGGGCAGAAGAGGTAGGGTAGCAAGGACACTAATATCACAACTTCCTCTTACCAAGACCCATCCTGGCCCTAAGGAATCAGTTAAAGGAGAGGGCTTCTGGGAAAACAAAACAAAACAAAACAAAACCCAACTTATACTCCTAATACAAATTAACTTTAAAAGTGCCTTTGGTTGGGTATGTTTCTCCCTGGGTCAGGAAAGAGAGGTGGCTGGGGACTCCGTGACTCTGGTCTTTCTATTACAAATTAATTTGGTTCCTCTAAACACATGTATTTTATAATTTTGGATTGTATTCTAGACATTATTAAGAACATGTCACATAAACTCTGGATTCTGTTAGATTCCTCTGAAGAATACTGATTGTTTTCCCCCAGTAAACAGTTAATTTGCCTCAACTAAAATTCCAAATGCTGAAAACCCAATTCAGTTCTTTATGCCTTACCTGGGCTGCTTTGAGTCTGCCCTGGGCACATGTAGTTTAAAGGCCAGCCAGATTACTAGGTAAATATTAGAGCCAGAATTTGAGGCTCATTCTCTGGCTCTCTCTTTTTGGGGATTTCTCGCCCTACTTTCTAGCTACTGTGGTTACCCTGAACTCTGTCCTTTGGTTCTTTAAGCCAGTAGGACAGAAGGTTTTCTATCAGGCTTTCAGTCTCCCAGTGCACAGACTAGGGCTAGCCTTCTAGCTAAAAGCCATAGGAACAGGAAACTTGCCCACTGATATTTCCTGTTGAACCCTCTCCAGCATCTTTCTTCTTTTTCTCACTCCCCAGTGCCTTTAGATAGTTGTTTTTTATACTTTGTTCAGAGTTTATACTTATTTGAGGTAAGAGAGTTGGCCTGATAAAAGCCAGTAACCAGAAGCAGAAACAATTGTACCTTTCTGACAAGAGTAAAATTTCATTTATTTTAAAATAGTCTACTCAGACTGATCTTTTTCACAATGTCTGAATTAATATGATGTTCTTGAGACAAGTATATGTCTTCTGACAGTAAAAAACAAACAAACAAAAACACAATCTTTTTTATTTTTTAAAGTAGGCTGCAGGGTGCCTGGGTGGCTCAGTTGGTTAAGTGACTGCCTTCGGCTCAGGTCATGATCCCGGAGTCCCGGGATTGAGTCCCGCATCGGGCTCCCTGCTCAGCAGGAAGTCTGCTTCTCCCTCTGACCCTCCCCCCTCTCATGCTCTCTCTCTCTCATTCTCTCTCTCAAATAAATAAATAAATAAAATCTTTAAAAAAATAAATAAATAAAGTAGGCTGCATACTGGGCATGGAACCCAAAGTGGGGCTTGAACTCATGACCCTGAGATCAAGATCTGAGCTGAGATCAAGAGTTGGGCGCTTAGGGGCACCCGGGCGGCTCAGTCGTTAAGCGTCTGCCTTCGGCTCAGGTCATGATCCCGGGGTCCTGGGGTCGAGCCCCATGTCGGGCTCCCTGCTCAGCGGGAAGCCTGCTTCTCCCTCTCCTGCTCCCCCTGCTTGTGTTCCCTCTCTTGCTGTGTCTCTCTCTGTCAAATAAATAAATAAAATCTTTAAAAAAAAAAAAAAAGAGTTGGGCACTTAACCGATTGAGCCACCCAGGTGCCCCAAAACACAATTATATTTATAGAGTCTCTTACCTAATATTAACAACCCTGTGAAATTAGAGGTATATTAACAGATGAGGAAATGGAGGACCTCAAGAGAAAGCTTACCAAATAACAATGTTGTTCATCATAGTGGTACCAAGCAGAGCTTCCTGCATCCCTTGGACCTGGGCAAAAGTTAGTACAGTCTCTTCAGGGGACATCAAAAATTGTTTTTCTTTGCTTCTGCATTTAAAACAGTATTAAAAATCAGCACTTTGTACCAAAGCAGTTTCTAAGCAGCCCTTGTACATATTACTGAACTATGCATAATACACACTAATCTAATACCCAAAAAAAAATTTCAACTATAAAATGTGTATTCTAAACTTTCCACAATGAACATATATTACTTTCATATTACCTACCTGGATATATTCGCAAGCACCTCAAATTCATCATATCCAAAATTAAACTTGACAGCTCTCAGTTTAAACCTTGTGTTTCTTTCTGCATTCCTTTCTCAGCAAATTGTACCACTGTCTACCCAGTGACAAACACAGAAACCTGGACATTACTCTCTTTCCCTTCTCTCTACCTACTCAGTCAGCAAGCCCTAATGACTTTAGTCTCCTCTTTCTCAAATCTGTCTGCTTCTCCTCGTCTCCATTAATACTTTGCTAATTTAAGCAAGCAATTATTTGTCTCTTGCCTAGATTACTACAACGGGTCAGGAATAAATAAGACAAACAAGGTCCATGCCCTGTGTTATTACAAAAGACAGATAAATAACCACAATAAAGTGTAACAAGCATATAAGAGACATAGAAGATGCTATGAGTTCCATTTTCAACATGTTGAATCTGAAATACCCACAAGATGTCTAATAGATAGGCAGGTCTAGAGGCTGAGAAAGAGCTCAGAGCTAGAAATATACATTTGCAAGAGTCAGCATCTAGATGGTAACTGAAGCAATGGAAACGAAGTGCGGAACAAGAAAAGGGTCTAGGATCCTGAGACATTTGTGATATTTAAGGCGTAGACACAGATTTCAAAGAAGACTGAAGAAAGAATAAACTACGTTTGCTGAGCCTCTCCACTCCACTGCCTTCCCTCCTGCTAAATCGAGCTCCCCCTTCTCTAAACTGCTTTCATGATACAGCCTAGTGTTGAGGCAGAACCTGGTATACAACACCTACAGCCCAGAAAAACAAGAGGCTAGTGATCTTTCTCTGAAAGCCCGTGATAAAAGCATTCTTTAATAAATAAAACCAACCATCTTACCCTCCATCTTCTGCAAATGTCATGATTTCTACTTGTTGGTCACAAAGGGTTCCACTGCTACTGACTAGCTTCTTCTCTGTCAGGCCAAGCACAGCTTTTATATTTCCAGAACTCAGTAGTACTTGCTTTTCACGTTTACCATCAGAGGAACAAAGTAATGCCCTAAAACCAAGTATAAAGGAAAATGTGGAGAAGTCAGAAGTAAGCCTTCAATATGAAAGGACTGAGGTCCAATTTATTTTTATTTTTATTTATTATTATTTTTTTAGAAAGGGGGAAAAAGCAAAGGGAGAAGAAGGGAGAATCTTAAGCAGGCTCCACGCCCAGCGCAGAGCCCAATGCAGGGTTTGATCTCATGATTCTGAGATCATGACCTGAGCTGAAATCAAGAGTCAGAACTTAACCAACCTAGCCACCCAGGTGCCCTGAAGTTCCAATTTTAAATGGAAACTTCAGTCAGGGATATCATTCCATTGACAGGGTTTGTTTTTTTTTTTTTTTAAAAAAACAAATCTCTCTCGGATCTAAATTTAGATTTTTTTTTTTTTTTACGATTTTATTTTTAAATAATCTCTATACCCAACATGGGGCTTGAACCCACAACCCTGAGATCGAAAGTTGCATGCTCTACCGACTGAGCCAGCCAGGTGTCCCTAAATTTAGATTCTAAAATTCAAGCCTAGGTTATAACTTGCACTCAAAACAAGCTGACAGAGACAAAGAGAAAGAGAAAAGAAAAAACTACTCCTTGAGAATTATATACCTGATTTCTCTGATTTCCAAATTTCCCAAAGCCACACACACGAGATTACAAACATCAGGCACTGGAACTATCTGTAATACTGGAACCTAAATAAAACAAAAAAAGCCAAAAATTATACTTGGTTGTTCCATTTTTAATCTAAATTTTCCAAAATTTGTCACATTTCTATTCTCACTGCATCAGGATAGTTTCAAATATCAAACAAATGTGAGAAAGTTCAGCAGACACCCTCTTTCTATAAGCTGTAAATCTAAATAAACTTATGCAAAACCGTGTGTATAGTAGCATTTAATACTATCCACACTTCTAACAATAAAGGAATAATTAAATAAATTCTGCCATGTGGACAAATGGAACATTGTGCAGCCACTTAAAGTAAGTTTACTCAGGGCACCTGGGTGGCTCAGTCGTTAAGCGTCTGCCTTCGGCTCAGGTCATGATCCCAGGGTCCTGGGATCGAGCCCCACGTCAGGCTCCCTGCTCCGCGGGAAGCCTGCTTCTCCCTCTCCCACTCCCCCTGCTTGTGTTCCCTCTCTTGCTGTGTCTCTCTCTGTCAAATAAATAAAATCTTAAAAAGAAAGTTTACTCAAGGGGCACCTGGGTGGCTCAGTTGGTTAAATGTCTGCCTTCAGCTCAGGTTCTTGGAATCAAGCCCCCTGTAGAGCTCTCTGCTCAGCAGGGAGCCTGCTTCTCTCTCTCTGCCCCTCCCCCCCTCACGTTCTCTCTCTCAAAAGAAAATCTTAAAATAAGTTTATTCACATAAATAAATATTTATTTTTTTTAAAAGATTTTATTTATTTATTTGACAGAGAGAGACACAGCAAGAGAGGGAACACAAGCAGGGGGAGTGGGAGAGGGAGAAGCAGGCTTCCCGCTGAGCAGGCAGCCCGACGTGGGACTCGATCCCAGGACCCTGGGATCATGACCTGAGCTGAAGGCAGACGCTTAACGACTGAGCCACCCAGGCACCCATAAATAAATATTTTTTGAGCACTACTATGCAAAGCATGGTGCCAGAAGCTGTGGATATACTGGAGGACAATGAAATTTGCTAAGAGTAGATCATAAGCATTCTCACCAAAAAACAAAAAAAAAAGCAAACAAAAAACCCCCCAAAACTATGTGAGCTGATACATGCTTTTTTGTTGTTTATTTTTATTTATTTAGAGAAAGAGAGGGACAGTATGTGGGGTAGGGAGGGGCAGAGAGAGAGTGAGAATCCAAGCAGATTGTGCTGAATGCAGACCCTGATATCACAGCCTGAGCCAAAACCAAGAGTCGGGCACTTAACCGACTGCACCACCCAGGCACCCCAAGCTCATGCAGGTTAATGAACTTGACTATGGGAGTCCTTTCAGAGTGTATAAAATATAAATCATTACATTATACTCCTTAAATACAATTCTGCCAATCATACTTCCATAAAGGTAAAAAAATAAATTCAAAATAAAGTATGAAGTCTATATAGAAACATGGAAAATATTCATAGGTTAAGTGAGAAAAGGCAGATTTAAAAATTTTAAGCACACCAGGATTGCAAGCATGTAAGATACGTATGAAGGTGGACAAGGACTAGAAGAAAATACATAAAGAAAAGAAGCAGGAACAATGCTTTGGTGAGGGGTAAGAAACACAGGTATCAGCAAGTTTAGAGTCAGAAAAGACACAAAATTCCAAGCTTCTCCAACATGTCCGGCATAAAAATCCCTTTCTTAAAAAACATGATAAAATAAACAAAGCACAAGGTTCATTGTAGTCTACATGGTGTACATGGTGGGTATATGGTGCTTACTGTACAACTTTTCTCTATGTTTGAAAATTTTCATAATGAGATGGTAGGAAGCATGACTCATCTCGGTTCTGTCTTGCGTGGTCATGGGTCCCATTTTCGGTAGTTGCCCATCTACATTACTATGTAAATGCTTGTAAAGACCGCTCTTAGCTCTAAGATTCTGACTTACCTCTGTGAAGTGCCAGGAATAAAGTTTTTCCCACTGCCAAGTATTGAGAGGTTTCCAAAGAGAAACTACGTATTCACAGGCAGTTATGATACATGGCTCTTTGAAACCTGCTCTTTCCCACCACATGGCACTCACATCCACCGAACAGGAACCGGAAGGGTTCTGAAATAACAGCAACACCAGTTACATTAAGGCGATACTTGGGGTCTGTTTCTGAAAAGAATACGTATGAAAAGTGTTGGGTCATAAGGATTAAATACCAAGTAAAACGTAATTAAAGTTTTCTATAGGTCAAAAGAAAGAGCGGGGGCCTGGCTTAGTTGGTGGAACATGTGACTCTAGATCTCAGAGTTTTAAGTTCAAGCCCCACATTGGGTGGAGGGATTACTCAAAAATAAAATCTTAAAAAAAAATTTATGTACTAAAAAATTGCCCCCACACACTTCTATCATGATAGATCTAAAAATGTATAGTGTGTAGCTCCAGAATGGAACAGATTCAGATTTAATCACAAAATATAGCCCATAAGAACTTGCCCATTTGGAAATGAAACATCCTGATGAACCACCCATGGGTTGAAGAGGGAATAAAACTGAAACCAACATACTACAGTTGACTCTTGAACAACGTGGGGGTTGGGCGCACTGACTTCCTACATAGTCAAAATTCTGCATGTAATTTTTGACTTCCCCAAAACTTAACTACTAATAGCTTACTACTGACAGGAAGCCTTACTGATAACATAAACGGTCAATCAACACGTTTGGCATGTTATATGTATTATATACTATATAATAAAGTATAGAGAAAAGAAAATGTTATAAAGAAAATAAGGTAGAGAATATACATTTACAATTCTGTACTGTGTTTACTGAAAAAGAAAAAGGCTGCGTGTAAGTGGGCCTCTGCAGTTCAAACCCATGTTGTTCAAGAGTCAACTGTATTTCCAAATGAACAAGGAGAAAACCGTGTATCCAAACACACAGAGCATGGCCAAAGTAGTTTTTGCCAAAAGAAATTTATAATCATAAAGGCACTGATCCAAAAAACCAAAAAAATAAAAAATAAAAATAGAGTAAGAAAACAGCTCAAGAAGTTAGTAAAAGAGTAAGAAAGTAAGCACAATGAAAAACAGAAGCAACTGTTTAGGGTAAAAACAGAAATAAACAGGAAACCAAAAAACCTAATTAGCAATCAATACAACCAAAAACTAGGTTTTTGGGGGAGACCCACAGAATGGAAAATCTCTTAAGTTTGAGGCAGGCAAAAAATACTTGAGAAAATGGGGACTAGGGGGAGAGAGGTGTAACTGAATACACACAGACAAAAAACCTTATTAGAATAATAACTTTTTTACCTACAAATTAGAAAAATACAAATGAAATGGTTGATTCTTTAAGAAAGGAGGTTATTAAAACCGATTCAAGAATAGCTTGACCATTACTATGTATCTTTTATACAAAAGGAATCTGGGGCTCAGAGGGTAAACACTTTGTCCAAGGTCACACAGCCAGTAGCTGGCAGAAACAGTTTATGTGGGTTTCAAGCTCTTTCTTTTACAACCAATTGTTCCCAGCTGGGAGGGGTTTTGCAACCTTTCCCTGGTGGTTATCTAGCAATACCTGCAGACATTTTGGGTTATCATAACTGGGGGCAGGGTGCTATTGGCTCTAGTGGGTAGAGGCAGGGTTGCTGCTAAATGTCCTACAATGCACAGGACAGCCCCTGCAACAAAGAATTATCCAGCCCACGATGTCCAGAGTGCAGAGATTGGGAAACCGTGCTCTGTACCATGCTACTTCAAGCACCATGTACAAGAAGTTAATTAGGACACAGGTCCAATCCACTTCTTGGGATTTACCCTAAAATAGCATTAACAGAATACTGTAACTTATATTTCTCAGAAATATTGTATCACATAGCATATGAAAAATTAGCCATTCACTATAATCTAGAACTGCTACCCATTTTCTTATAAATCACCATTTCCTTCTAGAAACACTACACCATTTGGAAAGGAGGGTCATGGATGACTTTCTCCCTCTCTGTCAAAAATGCCTGGTTTAAATTTAGATACAAAGTTGAGTTACCTAGCTTACCTTGTTAGATACAAAGTTGAGTTACCTAGCTTACGTTGTTCTTGGCAATGGCTTGACATATAAACTTCTGGAGAAGATCTCAAAACATAAATACAGCTAAATATTGTGAAAAACAAAGAATTTAAATGTTTTTCTGAATCTGTTTCACCAAGTTTAAGTGTTAAATTATGAATGAGAAGCTATAGATCAAATTCTTCCCAATATTCCTAGCAGTTCATTAACTTTTTTTACATGTAAGACACAAGACACATTATAAGGGAACAGTCTTCTGACCTTTAACTTTGAAACCAATTGAAGGTGGCGTGGGTTTAAGGTATCATAAGCAGGAAGGTCAGTTACTTCAGTCTGTGGAAATAAAAGTCACACCGTTAATCTAGGCTTTATAGATGTCTGCCTGCATTGCTCATTCATCACCATGTCTACTTGATATGTATTATTTTCTGACACAGCAGCCAAATTCCATATGCACCTGCTTCCTTAATGACAAAGGGAATTTTATTTTAAAAATACGTTAATTTTGACTTCCCCCAAGTGAACTTAATGGTTACAGTGAAGTCGTATCAAAGAGACATGTTAAATTATTCTTAAACACTGAGAAGCCAATGTGTAAGAAAGTCACATGCTGTCCAAATTCACTAGGATATTTCATTCCTTCTTAGAAAATCTCACCAGGGAAGCCGACTGTACCTGTTCGGTGGACTGTTTCCACGACTCCGGGTGTGGATTTCCACACAGCTGACTGTCTTTGAGAGGGACTGACTCAGGGGGAAGAGGTGTTGCCTGGGGACCAGAATCACAGTCACAGGAAGGCTGTCCTTCCCTCCCT